TTTATTTACACTACATAGAAGGGGGAAAAAAAGAAGTTTAACTATTCAGCCCCTGTTTGTCTCCCATTATGGGAGAAAGAATAAAGTTTTGAATAGTATTTTTTGGAGAATATGTGGTTAAAATTTAAAGAAATTTTATTGATTTGTATGTAGACTATTTTATTATTTGAATATGTGGTGGGGAATGTTACTGTAGAAAACAATGTTTTCAAATAAAGGGAGACAAACAAGCCCTTAGACTTCAGATTTCGCCTCCTTTCTAGATATGAGAATGTGAAGATCAAAGAAAATAGCTGATGAAATTGACATAAATCTATATTAATTAAAAAATTGTGCATTAAAGTTTTATTGTTCATCGATAAAAATCGTTTAGATCTTAAAAATAAAACTAATAGTTGATTTATCGATATTGTTTTATTTCATCAACTAAAGTCGTTGTAAACCATAATAATAAAGATAGACCATTTTCATAATATCGTTCAAGTACAAAAATAAACAACTCTTGATTTACTGGTAATATTTGAATTAAATGAAAATTAGGGATTTTGTATCATTCGAAGAGTCAAATTTACTACCGAACACACAAAATCGATATCGACAAAATCCTAACTACTTATAATTTGAAGTTTTCTGAGTATAATTGGACCGACTTTAAGTTTTTTTCTATCGTGCTGACTAGTTCGAATAGTTCTTATAATATTGAGAAAATTGACGATTTGTTATTCATCGATCATGTTAAAGATATTGTAAATTAGGGATTTATATGCTTCATTCAAGGACAAATTAATGACATTTTTATCTTTTTTTCTTTAGATTTATTAATCAGTGGTGGGTAATAAGCGTGTGGGTGTAGGTTAATGGTCAAGATCTTGCTGGTAAGCCAACCCCTTTTCTTGGTTGTAAGTCACCTGCCAGCTACAAAATTATTTCACCAAATTAAGTGGTTCCATTTCCACCAATTGTAACATTTTTCATCACCTAAGGAATAAAAAATTATGAGTAATTATGGTAATGAATAAATTTTTCTTCGTCAACATTCAAAATGTAACGTAAATTAGTATTTTCATTATGCTTTCGTAGTCGTGTTCTTGAGTCTCATTATCACCTATATATGAAAATTCTAAGTATATATCTATTGTTTAATAAAAATAAAAAGAATTCAATCAAGACGTGAGAGTTGTTGAAGAACACTTTTTGTTGACGTCGAAAATTGTATAAACAAGATCCAAGCCAACTTGGAATGCAAATGAGAATTTTATTGATAGTGATTTGCAAATTATTATTATAACTACAAACACTTGCTCTTTTTCCTTCAAGGAGATATGTGAAATATGAAGTATATTTTATCTTTTGAACTGTTTTTCTCCCCATTTCTTCAAGGCCCCCATTGTCCTTTTATAGGGAAGGATTTACATGCACACTTCATTTTTCCGTCTTATCAGCTATAGTATCGAGTTGAGAAAGTATATCATTGACACGTTTGGATTGGTTAGTGAGCTCGGCTTGTCAAGTTATCATGAGTTAACATTACACGTGGTTCCTAGCAATTAATGAATTACTTAGGGAATGAAGCTAACGCGTATGATTGGTTGAATTGGTGGGCGCTGATGTAAGACCTTCCACGTGTCACTTGTCAATTGACTGTTTGTACAGATGTGTAAGGAATCTTCAATAATTATGTCTTCTCAAACCTTAGCGTTAACGTAATCCGAACTGATCTCACGTATCTGAGCTTACATTAGCATAAGCTTAATGCCTACGACAAACTGTACTTAACGACATCAGAGGTCGGATGTCAACACTTTTAATGATCTAAACTTTGAAATAATATGGTCCCGAAACTGCTCAATTATCTAATATCATATAGAATTTTCGATGATACTCGATTCTATCCAAACCACAATAATTTGCGAAAATAGTTACCATTCTATTTTTAGAATTATAGGGAACTTAAATATTTAAACGTAAATACGAATTTGATATGAGATTTTCCAAGACAACGACCTCCCTCAAGAATTTGTAGTAATATACACTGGAAATATTAGAGGGTGTCGGTATTAAGATTTGGGGGTCCATCTTAAAAGGTCAACCTTGTTAAGAGGAGTAGCCCAAGATCTTTATTAATTGGTCTATGTCAACACCTTTATTCGATGTGGGATTATATACCTTAATAGTCGGTGCCGACAGTAACTCCTCGCCGCCACTGTTACCGGATGTTTCCGGTCATACT